GTTGCTCCTCTACATTCCTTTTTCTACAACTGGCCAGAAAACTTCAAGAAATAAAGCAAGATCTCTCTTTAACAAGGAATACAGTGGTCACTTATATTCATCCTTCAGAAATAAATAATTTTCTACTCTAGTTGTAAAAATGTCCATTATCATCTGAATAACCACCAGATACTTTGCAACTACTGGACAATGCTTTCATTCCCCCAATCTGAGGAGGTGGAGGTGTGGGGAAGTAAAAACTGTCCCTGATACAATTAGCAGGATCTTCCTACTACCTGAAATACAATGCCATGATCTTCGCAATGGCTTCTCTTCCCTTTGATAACTTACTGCAGAAACTTCATTTTGTTATGAATTTGCAGATACATGGTAGTTTCTGGCTAAGTGAAAAGGATAATAATGTCAACATAAAGTCTCCTTCTCCACCCTTACTGTTTAAGCTAAGATAAATACCTTTCCCTTGACACTAAGCCAAAAGGAAGTTTACACCGTGTTATACTATATTTGATTCTAATAGTTCCAGATTTTAGTTTACATGAAAAGTCATAAAAGTAGACTGGCTCCACATAGTCCAACAAAAAGGCTATAAAGAAGACTCAAATTATAGGATATCTTAATTGTGGCTTATGTTCCCCATTACACAAGGTCAAAGCTTTGACTTTCCGTAAGAGTTACTACTAATACTTCACCCCCTTAAAATCCCAAGGAAAAATATAGGCAACTGGGATACTAGAGGGTAAAGAAAGGCCTGTGTGGTTTTTGGTTGGGAATAGTAGCCTTTTTGAAACCCAGGGAAGGAGGGAAGGATTAGTGAATCCAAAGTAACAGGAGTCATGGTATCACTTAAACTCTTCATTCACAAGGACACATCTAGGCATCATTCTCTCACATCTTAGTGGCAGAGCCCTATCCTAGGTAAAAAGCTAGGTTAGCTACCACCAAGCATTTTACATCTGAAAAGCACCTCCTTGAAGAAGATTCAATTATTTTCAAACCGTTTTTAAACCTCTAAACTCTTTTAAATAAAACCTCACGTAAAGATCAAATACACAGAACAGAAAAAAGTAGAACTACTCATAGTGGAGAATAAAGGGGTTGGAGACCTACCAGTTTAGTATCTGCTCCCTCCCTCCCTCCCTATAAGAGGCAGCTTCTCCAACAGTGAAAACCCTTGGGTTCTTTGGAACACCCTTTGAAAATCAGTAAATTTGTGAGCCTGGAGAAAGACAGAGAGAGGTATACAGCAGGTTGATGATGGCAGTAATCTTTCTTTTACAGGGGGTGAGGGGATGCCAAAGAGTGGAAAACAAAATAAAAATAGCCATGTTATAAATACAGACTATAAGACTGTATCTATAGCATTACTACACATCTATGAAATCCAATATATATACAATCTGCCCCGGCACACTGGCTCATACCTGTAACCCTAGTACTTGGGAGAAGCTAAGGTGGGCGGATCACTTGAGGTCAGGAGTTGGAGACCAGTATGGCCAACATGGTGAAACCCCATCTCTACTAAAAATACCAAAAACTTAGCCAGGCATGGTGGTTCATGCCTATAATCCCAGCTACTCAGGAAGCTGAGGCAGGAGTATTGCTTAAGCCTAAGAGGCAGAGGTTGCAGTGAGTGAGGAACACACCACTGCACTCCAGCCTGGGCAACAAAGCAAGGCTGTCTCAAAAAAAAAAAGCACAAAGAAACAAAAAAATAAGTATACAATCAAGTACTGGGTGGTAATGTGAGCAAATAAAAATATAGCTTTGATGAGATTATGGGCAATCTGTTATTTCAACAATATTTTTGCAATAAAATAATGTATTTTAAAAAGTTAAAGAAAGTATTTGCCCAAGTTCTCATTCACAGTTGAGAAAATGAGGCCCAGATGTGACAAGGATCATGTACAAACACTCAGGGAATCACCTACAATATTTAGTCAACATTTTACTTACGAAGGAGTAATAGATTATAAAAAGCACAGCTTTCAACTCCACCAAAAGCTACAGTTGAGCTATTTTGTCATTCTCAAAAGCACAAATCAGTATTAGGTTAAGGGGACAGATATTTTTACATGCTTTAGAATGAAAAGCATTGGGGCAATTCAACAAACACTTATTGATCAACTTATAACTATAAAACTGTTTTCTAAATGCTACGTAACATGCAGAGACAACTAGTACACGGGCTGCTCTTCAAGAATTTACAATGTACTAAGGAAGACAAACACCTCTTATGATAAGCTAGAATGAAATAAAAGCATGAACAACTAATTGTAACTTGGGACACAGAAGAAAAGGTCATAGATCAAATATTATGTGTGGTGAACCTTAATGAATGAGTGTAAGTTCCCCAAGTGGCAGAACTACTGCACTGTACAACTCCAAGAAATGACCTTACAAGGTGACCTAGCTAGGTAGAGAAAGGGCAAAGGGCACATCAAGCTAAGGATAAACATGAGCAAAGGCAGGGAAAGGTGAATTATTTCAGGGAAAGGCGAATTATTTGGTTCAGCTAAAATGTTGATTGGAAATATGGGTTAGGGTCAGGTTAAGGCATTAAAGATTAAGCCAGCTGGGCTAGGCGCAGTGGCTCACACCTGTAACCCCAACACTTTGGGAGGCCGAGGTGGGAGAATCACTTGAGGTCAGGAGTTCAAGACCAGCCTGGCCAACATGGTGAAACCCTGCCTATACTAAAAATACAAAAATTAGCCAGGCATGGTAGTGCATGCCTATAATCCCAGCTACTCGGAAGGCTGAGGCAGGAGAATCACTTGAGCCCAGGAGGTAGAGGTTGCAGTAAGCTGAGATTGCCCCACTACGCTCCACCCTGGGCAGCAGAGTGAGACTCTGTCTTAAAAAAAAAAAAATTAAGCCAGCTTAAACTTAAGTATTTAACTTGTGCCTCGGGAAAAGAAATCTAGCAGAAGTATGGAAACTAAGGAGGGAAAGAGACTGAAGGCAAATTAAGACTTGAATGAGAGAAGCCTTGAATGGAGCATCAAAAATAAAAAGACAATTTTTGTCACTTTCTGCTAGATCACCTGGTTTAATGTAGTATGAATCAAAATATTAGTGACATGATCCAGCTACCTGAACAATTTTAGTATATCTCAAATAAACTTCAGAAGAAATATGTACATGCCCAGTACCTTCACTTTCCCAGGCCTGGAGCTGATCTTGATCCCTTGTAGCACTGCCCAATACCTCTCGAGGCACAGGCTCCATTCGTGCATCCACATTCTTTTGGTGAGAAGACTGGTTAAATCCTTCAATGGCCTTTTGGAAAAATAAGTTCAGCTCCTCAAAATTCATGGCCTGGAGCTCTGCGTAAAGTTCTACCTGTTGGGCTTCTTCAAGCTCATTCCAGAAATGTAGTAGGTGCTCTTGCCCAGCTTTGGACAATGTGAGTTTGAGGTCATTAACGTTCATAATGGTCTAATAGCCAAGCTTTGTAGAAATAGGGGTGTAATGTACGTACCTATAAACCGAAAAGAGAAAAATAATTAATGGCACGTCAAAATCAACCTCCAAAATTGAGGGGGTTTTCCCCCTCTAAAATAAGAATATTTTTAAAACTTGATGTTAAAAAAATTAACTTCTGCTTTTCCATCACTCAATCCCAGGCAGCCTGATGACATGGCTCACACTCTTTACCACATTTAGTTGTCTCTGTATTAGTCCTCCGACTACTAAGCTACCACTGAAAGAACACTTGACCGCTTAATATTTAAATGTTTTCCTTGTATCTCTAATGATAGAAATACTATTAAGTGTTGTTGTAGTCAGTATACCGAAATATTCAGAAAGACAGAACTACCTATAATAAGGAAAAATGCATTTCATTTCATTAGCAACTTCTGCAAAGAAGCAATAACACATCTATTGTCTCTACTCACTAAAAACTTGGGTCCTCCTTAAAGAGACAAGCAATATACATATAACAATCAGTGAATAAGACAAATGTTTTCTAAAGAGCTATATTCTGTGATAATATAGTAAAATGTTAAACTTCATAGTGCTAAAAAATAAGAAAATGAGGAAATATTTAATCTACTTGCCCAATATAGACAAATGCAACAGGAGATAGGTGTTTTCTAGAAAGTTCACAAACAGGCAGGATCTAGCCATATATTAAGGGTTGGGCAGACTACATAGATAAGATTAGAGGCCAGGCATGGTAGTTCATACTTGTAATCCCAGCACAGGCCTCTGCTCAGGAGTTTAAGACCTACCTGGGCAACATGGCAAAACCCCACCTCCACAAAAAACACAAAAATCAGCCAGGTGTGGTGACATATGCCTGTAGTCCCAGCTACTCTACTGAGGAGACTGAGGTGGGAGGAACACCTGAATTCAGAAGGTCGAGGCTGTAATGAAGCGTAATCACATCACTGCACTCCAGCCTCGGCGACAGGAAATTCTATCTCAAAAAAATAAAAGATTAGGAAACAAGCAGAGCCTGGTGGCCATAAGGAGCAAGCATGTGTGGGATGGAAAGCAGTAAGAAGGTTAACGTATGACAAATGACATAAAATGGCCCAGGGTAGGGCTAGATCATGAAGAGTCTGAAAACTAACCAAAAGAATTTAGACTTTAGAGAAGAAGTAACAGAAAGTGAACAGCAGATTCTCAAACAGGGCAGCGTTACCATGCTTTAAAGGATGAGAGAAAGGAGCAATGGCATACAATAGATTGTAAGGAGGGACAACTAGAAGCAGGAAAAGAAGTTAAAAGACAACTGCAGGTATGAAATACCAAAGGTCTGAACCAGATTAGTGGCAGAGAAAATAAGAGTGAAAGGAATAAATCTGAGGGTCACTGTAAAGAATCATCACTGCATTATAATTGCTTCGATGTGAGGGACAGAGGGAAAAAGTAGGTACTAAAGACATTTATCTTCTCCTATGAGAACAGTGAAAAGTAATACACATGGTAGTTCAGAGCACAATTCTAGGCTCAGCTGAGCCACTTAATTTCCCCATGCCTCGGTTACCTTGTCTGTAAAATGAGATTAATAATAGTATCTACCTCACCAGGATCATTAAACATCAAACACCATTTACAAGCTCAGGTCTAGAGAACCTACATCTGTGTGTTCCCTGAGGTGGTAATAATAACACTTAGCTTTCAATGTTCGTTATGGTATTAAAAGGCATTCCTATTGATTTATATACGTTTCAAGAGTCATGATGCTATTATTTTGTAATTTTAAAAAATCACATTAAGAAAGACACTTGAGAGGAACAGATTTATATTAAATTATTTTCCAAGGAATGTAGTTTTTTCCAAGACCTCATTTATGCTACTGCTTTGCCTCTGATTTAAGAGAGTACATTGTAATAGGAAGATCAGCAAGGAACCAGATAACCAAAGAATAGGAAGTCCCTGTTCTTGGTCCTTCTCCATCATTTGATTCTATGCAATCATTTTACCTCCCTGTGCATATACTTCCTCACGAATATAAGACAACCAACCTTTCTCACATGCCTTCAAGAGAGTCAAGAGTAAAGAGTGCTCTGTCTGCTAAAAGGCATACACAAACATATTATTATAGCATTTTAAGATATAAACCAAACTTTTCTAAAAGGTCATCAATAGATACTCCTCCACCTTCAGACACCTGGAAAAATGAATCCATGCAAATAAGATACCTCATAGGGCCGGGCGCGGTGGCTCACGCCTGTAATCCCAGCACTCTGGGAGGCCGAGGCGGGCAGATCACGAAGTCAAGCGATGGAGACCATCTGGCCAACACGGTAAAACCCCGTCTCTACTAAAAATACAAAAATTAGCTGGGCATGGTGGTGCGCGCCTATAGTCCCAGCTACTCAGGAGGCTGAGGCAGGAAAATCGCTTGGACGGGGGAGGTGGAGGTTGCAGTAAGCAGGTATCACGCCACTGCACTCCAGCCTGGCGACATAGTGAGACTCTCCATCTCAAAAAAAGAAAAAAAAGAAAAAAAAAAAAGGTACCTCATAGGTTAAACTTTGATATCTGGACCTAAACCACTGGTCACATGTACTCATTTACATGTTGTATAATGTTTATAATGTAACAACCATACTTGAGTTTTGGACAAGCACAATTCACCTATTATATTTATCTGAGGCAGATATAAGCATCTTCATGCCACAAAAATAGTACCATATTTCCCATTAACGATGTTTAGAGGCATGTGTGTGTAATGGTAAGCAGCAATGAACAGAAGAGTTAAAAGACAAGAATTTTTATTTTGACAACCGAAAACTGAAAAAGTTGAAAAGCTGCTCTAGAAATTATAACAAAACTTGGTACATGCCCACAGCCTAATCCATCTGCATCAAAATATATGACAAATTTGGTAATAATCTACCATTATCAAATATATTTTTATTAGAATTTAAATACCAGTATTAAAGAAATCCAGTATTTCTCCCTCCTTTTCTGGCCTCCCTCACCCGGCCCCTATCTCTGCTGGTATATGTATGCCCTCGAAATGATTAAGTAAACCTTTTACAGCTTTTAAAACACAGTATCAGCGTTGAGACATAACCACCAACTGAATCCTATAAATGCTTGGCAGCACAGCCTAAGAAGTCTTTCTTAGCTCCAGCTAAGTGAGCCAACTGACTAACAGTGAAGGAACAGACAACTGCCTTGAGTTTCCGACGAACTCTTGGGTCCACACCCAGTGAATTTCACCTAAAAGTCCTTAAACTTTTGCAATACCAAATGACACACACATATGATTATAATCCTATTACCTGATTCCAGATTTCATAAACCACGTAGAAGTAAGTGTAGCACAGCGTCAGGCCAAAGTTCAAGCAGCCATATGTTCAGCATATGTGTACTTAGCCCTCCAATACCATCCTTCTGCTTGGCCAAGCACGGGGAAA